TGCGGGTTGACTGTACTGTGCTGCACTGTACTGCACCTCGGGCGTCCGCAGCAGGCCTTCCTGGGGCACTACGCGCCGGGGCGGGCTTCGCCGGAGGCCGCGGCGCGGCTGGCGGCGCTGCTCGAGGGCAGCCCGGCCGCGCACTTCGCTTGGGGCGGCTACTGCCGGCAGGAGGGCATCGGCATCTTCGACCCCGCGATGCTGCCCGCCTACTTTGTGGACCGTTTCCTGCAGGCCGTCGACGCGGGCTGCCTCCCTGCCGTGGAGATGGCCACGGAGGGGTTGGCCGCCTCCGTGAGGCAGGTGCGGGCCGAGGACGCGCGCGGAGAGGATGCGTGGGCCTCTTACTGCCGCGAGGAGGGCCACGACAGCCTGGACCCGCTGTGCTACTCGAAGGAGTTTGTTGAGGCTTTCTTAGCGAAGCGCACCGCAGGCACGGCGTAGGGCACAGAGGGGTAGGCTCCGCGTCCTGGCTCGCTTCGAGCTGCTCGGCTTGCGCAGGCCTGAGACTCGTGGCAGAGTAGGTCGGCTCTCGTGGCGTCATCGCCTCTCCTCCTCGATGCTCTCCCCATCGCTCTTTCTCCACTCCCTCCTCCCTGCTCCCTCCTGCCTCTGCCCTCCTCCGCCCCCTGCCCCCTCTGGACCCGCCCGTGAGAGTCCCGCCCGATCGCGTGCTGGTAAGCCCGCCCGCCCGCTTCAGAGTCCCGCCCGCCCGCCCGCCCGCCCCTCAGGGCCCCGCCGGCCCGACCCCCCCCTTTGGGCCCCGCCCGCCCGACCTGCCCGTTGGGGCCCGCCGGCGCAGGCCCGGCTCCGGCGAGACCAGACGCCGGCGGCACCCGCCGCTGGGGCAACGAGACGGGCGCAGGCCAGCGCTGGCGAAACCAGCGCCGGGCGACGTCGGCCTTCCGAAGCCTGCTCCTTCCCCGGCTCTCCTGCTTTTCCTCTTCCTCCCCCTCCTCCTCCTCCTCCTCCTCCTCCTCCTCCTCCTCTTCCTCCTCCTCCTCCTCCTCCTCCTGCTCCTCCTGCTCCTCTTCCTCCTCCTGCTCCTCCTCCTCCTCCTCCTCCTCCTCCTCCTCCTCCTCAGAGCTTACGTATTGCCAGTGGCGCCAGGTTCGTTCGGATGCCGCCATCCCCCCCCACCCCGAAGGACGATCGCCCCTTGGGGGGCGGGCCGATCGCATTAGGCAGCTGCACAAGAAAAACATGGGGCAGCGATCCGACAGCTCCCCCTCGGCGTTTGTTTCACAGAGAGCTCTCCAGAGAGCGCATCGTTCCCCACTCGCACTGTACCGCGCCCAGTAGAGGGCGCACTGCGACCTTCCTCGCGCCCTCCACGATGCCCCTGATTTGAAAGCTATTCACCCCCAAGACTGCGAAATCTACATCACCTCACGAGCGAATGCGCGACCTTTACGAGGAGGGCGCAAAACAAATCATGCTCAAGTGTCTTAGTGCTTTGCTTTTCTCTTTCAAGTCCCGGAGCACCCTGGGGGAGGAGCGAGGGAGAGGCAACTGATCGTATTTCAAGATGCTGTGCGCAAGGAATCCTATTGCAGGCCAAATGTGGCCGGTCGTAATTGGTACCAGTTTTTTTTGGCCGGTTGAGAAGTGGCCAGGTCGGTTGTAATTTGGCACCGGTCTGTTGGGATTGGTCCGACATGCGGTTGAAGGCCTCCCTTCCCTACCTTTAGGAACAGGGAGTTGACCCCCCCCCTCTCCTCTCCATTGCCCTCAAAGGGAGGGGGGGCTGGTGCCCCCCCCACTCCAGAAATGTGTTCCTGCAACCTTACCGTCCTAACCCTGACGCCTTCACCCCAGCACCCAAGTCCAAATCCTAACACCGTAACCACACGCACTGACCCCAACCCACCCTAACACCAGGCGTGCTGGACCCCCAGGTCCGTGCTGCTCAAGTTCCCTCTTGAAGTATCCCTTACTGGGAGACATGCCCAGGGTCGTGGTGGGCCGCGCCAGACTGGCTGTTACCCCCTCCGTTGCCACGACGGCCATCGAGGTAAGAGCCGCCGATGCGTCATGCGATGTAGGAGGAGGAGGAGGAGGAGGAGGAGGAGGAGGAGGAGGAGGAGGAGGAGGATCGAGGAGGAGGAGGAGGAGATGCGATGTAAGGTGCTCCCCTGGAAATCATGGTAGGAGATGCGACGTGCTGCTCGTCGGCGTGCCGTTCGCCCTGTTGCCCTGCCGCGTGCCATCGTCGTCGGGTCGTTTCGTTCGAGCGTCTGGCGCACGTGGGTTGGGTGTGTGTCGGCCGCAGCGCTTCGCCGTGTTCCATCTTCGCTACTCCAGAGTTCGTAATAAAAGGGAGGGGGTCTGGACCCTCCAAGACAAGCCATTTCAGACCCCCCCCCGTGGGAGAACCCTCCAAAACATCGTCCCCAGACCCCCCCAGGCCCTCCAAGATAGCCTGGAAGAGACCCCCCCCGAAATGAGACCCCCCTCCCTTTATTACGAAATCTGGAGTACGTCTTGACAAGGGTGGTTGGGCTCCATTTCCGTGGCTACACCTCCCCCTGCTGGGTCGTGAGAGGGTGTGGGCTGTCCATGTCCGCGGCTGCACCTCCCCAAGTTCCCCTACGGCAGATCTGCTGGCTAACTTCCGTGAGATGTGGCCCACCGTTGTGTTATGGTCGAAGGAGAAGAGGCGTATTCCTCTTGGTCGTCGTAGTAGGTGCTGGATCTTGGGTAGCAGCCAGCTGCTCGCAACTTGTCGCTGGCCGTGGACAGTTCCTGGATGCTGGATATTTGCTGGTATGATAGTTGCGTAGGCCACAGAGGAACATAATCGTTGTCTTCAGTATCTGGTTGCCGATGTCGATATGTTCGCTCTCGCCGTCCGTCAAGTAGTTCAGGCCCCCTGCTTGTCTTCGGCTACGTAGCGGTCGTGGTTGTCTTTGGGAGCTTGGCAGGTCCCCCGTTCTGGCCAAGCTCCACGTCTCGCAAGGCGGTCTTGCAAGTAGGGCCCATGCAGAATCAGCCTCGGTAAGTACAGCAGCCTCCCGGTGATGCTTGAGATGTCAGGAGGTAGCCGGTTGGTTTCGCCGAGACCCTGGAGGTTGGACGAGTGCCTGTCCTGGTCGTGTTACAGTCGGGGCCCTGAAGAAGGAACCCTTTTCGTTGGGGAGGGGCTCCGCGTTCCTTAAGCGTTTCACAGTGTGCCTCCGGTTTTCCTCATGTTTTCGATAGGGAGTCGAAGTTTAACCTATGGAAAAAAGGGGCCTCGTTCCTTATTTAGGGTTCCTTGGGTCAACGCCCCGACTGTAGTCGTGGTGCCCGGTGGCCTGCCTGTGTCTCTGTGTGCACTCCACTGCGGAGGTGCCCGCGTCTCCGTCGGTTGCGTGGTCCGTGCGCAGTCGTTGTGCAAACGTGTCGAGAGCAGCAGCGAGCTGCTGTTCAGGAGGGAAAAAACACACAGACACAATTGATCGGCGATTCCCCAGAAAATATGGGGAAATATGGGAAGTGGGGGGGAAGACAACCCCCCAGAAAATATGGGAAAATATAGGGAATCCTTTTATTTGTGTGTATTTATTTGTGTGTCCTCCTTTATAGAGAACCTTCTTGAAGGCAGGTATGCTTGGCCTCCTGAAGACCTGCGTGCGTCGGGGGCCCCTACTGATCATGGCCCGGTTGCTTCTCTTCTTGTTTTCGGGCCCTACTGTTCCAGCGGATGCGACGACCGTGCCCAGCGCGGTCGGAGTGTTGACGAGCTCCACAGTCTGCTCCCAGTAGGTTCTCTTGATGTTCGTGGTGCCTTCCCTAGCACCTCGCTCCTCGCCTTGATTTGAGTCTGGTTAGCAGGAGCATGATCTTCGCCTTCTTGGCGTTGAGTCACATGCCGTGGGCGCGAACCCTCGATTCGACTGACTGCAGTAGGGTCGTTGCCGCGTCGATCGAGTAGTCTGGGGATGTAGTGGCGTAGGCCGTCAGGTCGTCAACGAAGGAGGCCTTGGTGAGTGCGGCTCCCCTGTCTTGCCCATGTAGGAACGAGCGCGTCCTGTGGTCGCTTGGAGGGGGGGGTTGGAACCGGACCCCCCCCCCCTGGGTGGTAGTGGCGGTGGTGGTGGTGGTGAGGTGGTGGTGGTTTGTGGTGGTGGTGGTGGTGGGTTGTGCTGCTGGTAGTAGTGGTGGTGGTTGTGGCGGTGGTGGTGGTGGTGGTGGTGGTAATGGTGGTAGGTTGTTGTATTGGTGGTGGTGGTGGTTGTGAGCTGTTGTGGTGATGGTGGTGGTGGTGGTGGCTGTGATGGTGGTTGTGTGGTGGCTTGGTGGTGGTGGTGGTGGGTTGAGGTAGTGATGGTGGTGGTCGCGGTGGTGGCGGTGGTGGTGGTGGTGGCGTGGTGGTTTGTGGTGGTGGTGGTGGTGGGCTTTGGTGTTGGTGGTGGTGGTGCTGCTGGTAGTGGTGCTGATGGTGGTGGTGGGTGGTGGGTGGTGGGTGGTGGGTGGTGGTGGTTGTGGTGCTGGTGGTGCTGGTGGTGCTGGTGGTGTGGTGGTTTGTGGTGGTGTTGTTGGTGGTGGGTTGTGGTGATGGTGGTGGTTGTGGCGGTGGTGGTGATGATGGTGGTAATGGTGTGGTGGTTTGTGGTGGTGGTGATGGTGGGTTGTGGTGGGTTGTGGTGATGCTGGTGGGGGTCGCGTTGTTGTTGTTGTTGTTGTTGTTGTTGTTGTTGTTGTTGTTGTTGTTGTTGAACTCTCATTCTTGAAGAATAATTATTGTTGATCCCCCCCACCGGTGCACATTGATTTTTTTCGATTGAAGTGCCACCCCCGGGGCTCGCACCTTGTTTTTTCTCAAGGAAAGTCTTCCTGCTCAAACTGTGCCCCTGCCCCCCGGGCTACAACAGCAACGGCTCCCGCCTGAGACTTCCTCGATTTTTACTGAGGACCCCCGCTCCCGCCTGAGACTTCCGCGCAATTTACTCAGGAAAGGCGCTCCCGTCTGAGACTTCCTCGCAATGTAATCAAGACCCCCGCTCCCGCCTGAGACT